GGCTAGTGGGACTCAGTTGGTTGGGCACACATCTGGGTTGCTTGTTCAGACCCTGGGCAGGGCAAGTACCAAAGACAGCCAATAGATATTTCTCTCTCACATTGATGTTTATCTCCCTCTCTTCCCCTCTTGCTAAATAAAAATAAGTTAAAGAATAAAATAATATTTTATTCACTCAATAAGTATCTCTTAATAGTCTAATACTATTAAACCAATATATTGACGATGCTTACATTAGCGGTAAAATATATATAGACATAAATATATAATATTCAATAAGCAGTGACAAGTGCCTTGAGAGACAGAAACAGGGCGCTGTACTAGAAGGGAGGGGGGAAGATTACATCCGGATTGGAGGGAGGAGGGTTTTACTAAGGCAGGTGGCATGGAATATGTGACCTTTCCATTGGCCTAAGAATAGAGCAGGTTTGAACATGTAAGGGGAGTTTACAAAGGAAAATACAGGTGACAAATGGATTTAAACATATGGACCAATGTGAGAAAGTGTAAAACATTTACTAGTAACAGCTGAACATTTTACATACAAAGAAATAGTTAAAAGGAGTGGAGGAACTCTCTGGGTACTCCAGATCCCTGAAGTCAGGATTAAAAGCTGGGATTTATTCCTTAAAATAGGTTTTTGAACATCTGGTTAACATTTTGAGAGGAGTTTTGGAGAAATTAATCTGGCCATGGTTTTTACAATAAATTCTGGAAGCAGTAGACTAAAGCAAGAGGATTCCATTAACACACACTTAGAAGTACGAAGACTAAAATTGGGTAGTGACCATGATAACAGAGAACACAGATAGAATCAAGAGTGCTTTGGGGAAAAATGGAAGCATTTGGGAAATTTTGAATGAGGCACAAAAAACAAGGTGCTGAAAAGTGTTTTCATCCTTTTACATTGAGTCTCTGGAAGGAAATAGAGGACGAAAGAGAAGCAGCTATTGAAGGGGCAGTGCATTCTCAGTTCTATGATAAACACACCGAGCTCAGTCAGAGGATTTTTTAAAAAATAAAACATCTAGTGAGTAATCTAAAAAACACACAATGCATAGAGAAGAAGTGAGAAAAGGAGCACAGGTTAGGAATCAAACTCATAGGGATGACAACTAAAAGCATGGGACACATGAGCCAGTACTAGTGCTACTGAGACCCCTTTGGGGTTACTAGGGTACTGCATTTTGGAGAAAAAAAAAGCAGTTATTCTTTCTAGAAAACAATGTTATAAATTGTATATTGCACTCATGTTGCTGATATGAAACCACGACCTTGACTAAGATCTGACAACCATCAATAGAAAGGAAGAAGAATGGGCATCAAAAAGAATCATAAAATTAATACTGTAGTTGATAGAAGGAAAATCTCTTTAGAACAATGCAATGGGAGTCTAAGGTGAAAAGAATTTTAAGCAGGGAAGCTAATGAATTGTGTTAAATGTTTTCAAAGGAAGAAGTTCAGAAAAGGCTATTGAAGTTCAGAATCAATGGGGCCCTTTCAGAAAGAGGTTATTGTAGAGGCGGAAGCAAGATCCAGATCCTAGCTGGAAAGTCAAGAGGAGTTGAGGGAGTGCGTAGAGAGTATCCTTTCAATTAGGTTACCATAGAAGGGAATAGAAATATATGTCCCTAGTTTGGATGAGTAGTAGGATGGTATGAAGGTATATCTTGATTTAGGATAGAACTGAATTAAACAGCTTTATAAGCTCAAGGGGGCACCCTGGAAGTCAAAGGCATAGAACATAAATATAATAGTCAATGAGCAAGTGGCTGAAAGGGTAGTCAGAAAGAGAGCCACCTGAAGGTATGAGAGTAAATGCTAGTCCATAATGAGAGGAAAAGGAGATTTTCTTTCCTCTGAGACAAGAGGAAGGGAGAGTCCATAAGGTCGATCTATTGATCTATCTATCTATCTATCTATCATCTATCTATCTATATCTATCTATCTATCTATCTATCTATCTATCTATCTATCTATCTATCTATCTATCTATCTATCATCTATCTGTCATCATCTATCATCTATCTAGAGAGATGTAGAGTTAGAGAATGAGAGAGTTCATATTTTATACACTAATTTAATCTCCAGTTTCTTGAGAAGAGTCCCAAACTTTTGGCAAAGATTCAGTTAAAATGAGACACGTGAGGAAATGAATATAGATAAAAGGATGGTTAGCAATTTGTGGAAAGTCAATAACATTAATTTCCAGTATGACCGGTTGACCTCATCATATTACTCTTTCAATGATTCTGTGGGCCTTAGGAGCAGAAATAGATGAGGTAAAGTATAATTTTATCCAGGCATTGATACTTACAAAAAAGAATGGGTTATATCAAGCAAGCAAAGAGAACTGGGTGTTTGGCTAATTTTTCCTTGACATACATGGCTGAATCTTGGGAAGGGAGTGGAAGAAAGAAAACAAACAGTTCCTAAAGGGGGTTATTATATGAGAATATGGAATAGCTAAAGAACTAAAATCACCAATGAAGAATAAAAAATGGCTTCCATTGGATTGCAATAGGAGTGCTTATAAAATAGAAAGTTGTGTTCAGAGAAGCAGACTTCAGAGTTTAACATCTTAGTTATGAAATAGTCCCAAGTGATTTTGAAATCCGAAATGGAGGTGTGTTTATGGGGAGCTAAAATTAAGGACACTCACATCTTTTGATCAAATGCTTAACAGCCTCAACAAAGATACATCACCTAATCTTAATAACTGTTTATTATATGTCGGGTGCTGTGCTAAATGCTTTTCTCCTGTTAATTCTTCTTCACTACCAACTGGGTGGAAGGTAATGTTCACAGCCATTGAGCTGATTATCCTCATCCCCCAAATTGACTGAATTAATTTGTTGGTTTGACATTGTATAAAGACAATTTTTAAAAGCATATAATCTCAGCTAATTAAACTACACCCAGGTTTTTAACTTTCTGGGCATCCTGAACACTTAAGGTTGACATGGGCATATGTAAGTTGTCATTAGGGATAATACAGAACAGTTGGCTTAGTACAGAACAGTCACATAACGCCGGCTTTGGCTGTAGATATCATTTAGTGGGTGTCAACCAGTTGAGAGAGCAGACATTGAAAAGATAAATTCTCTCTAGGAGCATATTTCCTGAGAAATGCAGGATTTTTTTTTGTTTTAATTTTATTTTCATTACTTTTCAATAATAAGTGAAATTTCAGTAATTCTTATGATTAAATATATAATTTATTGTAGCTATTTATTATACATTTCTCACATATTTATAGGAATTATGACCAAAATGTAAGATGAAAATCAGTACATGTGTTTAATACATTAGTACTTTATTAGTAAATAGATAAGTGGGTAGGCACTCTGAACTGATCATTAAAAATGTATCATTTAACATTCTTAAGCACTTGGTTGCATTATGGCAGGATAATTGCAGCAGTTTTTGTTCCTCATTTCATTAAATAGGCTATCTAGCACTGTAGTACTTATAGAGTTATTGCCATAGAGTTCCAAAACCCCATTCAGGTGAGGGTTGTGGCTACCATAATTATCATCTGTTTCACTTTGTTAGTGTTTCTCATTATAATTCAGAGGGTCAATGATACTGTTCCTGATAGGAACCCAGCAAGACTAGAAGTGTTAAAACAGCTTGGAGACTACGTGGGTCTGTGCTTCTCCAGCTCATAGGCAGTTAATTACCTAAGTACACAATAGTGCGAGCTCTGGGAGAAATTGGGACCTTTGCAATATGGTAGCTTCCCAAGTACAATATTACTTGGTGGTTTTTCATTGAACTGTACTGTTTAATTAGAAGACATGAGGGTATTCTGTGGCAGAAGAGGATATAATTTCAAGAGAAGCAAAACAGTTTTTCTTTTCTTTTTTTTTTTTTTACCACCTCAGACTTGGAGGAGCATTCCAAATCTAAGTTACTTATCAGTGTTTCTCATCTTTAACAGTTCATTGCAACCTCCTGGGAACATTACACAAGACCCAAAGTCCGGCCCCACCTCCCGTTAATTAAATCTGATCTGCGGAGAATGGTAGCCAAGCATGGATGTGCATTTTTTAAAATGTGCCTCAGGTGCTGTGCTCAGAAGGTTGAAAGCCACTATGCTACAATTAACATTCAAAAATAATCATTGCCACTACAGATAGATCCAGCTGTGAACTAGAGTTTTCTTTTTTAGTTTCAATTTATCTACTTGTATAGAAAGACTTGTATAGTTCATACATCAATATTGCTTTAATGATTTTTAAAAATTAATTAACCATTTAAAACTAAACATTTTTCTTATTTCCTATAGCGACATTTTGAATGGGAGGTTGAAAGGCATTTTATTCCTAGAAAAAAGTTTTAGCATCTGTGCTAAATTTACTCTAAACCTCTGAATAACATATAGGACTTATGTTTCTCCAGTGTTATATGATTGATTGTATTATTTTAATTAGATAAATAAACAATAATTGATTACATGTAAAACTGATGTTTAAAAATGCTTTTGTAGTTCTTATTAGATACTTATTGTCTATAAACATTTTATAGTATTTAATATCTTTATATTTAAATAGGCTATAGATCTTTTCATAGAAAACCCATTTCTACAAGTTCACATTAAAATGATTTATAATTAGATGACAAAAATTCACAACTGGGATTTTCATGACCAGTAATCTCTTAAGGTGTAGTATTCAATATTAAGAGCAGTAATTTTGCTTTCCCTTTAAGAAGGAATGTAGATGCCCCATTTTAAGTGCCCATTGTTCCTTCCATATGTCTGTATGATAACCTGTAAAACAAGGAGGCTAATCTAAATTTAATTTCACAGAAAATATGATAAAATGCTATTTATTAATTTTAAAACCTTATGCCTTGGCTTTATGTTTCCAGTTTGAGATTTTTGAGTACTATTATTTTTTAATTTAAAATGTCTCAAAAATATTTGCTACTCTCATTAAACTCCACACATTGTTTTCAAAAGCTATTCTTTTCTTTTTGTTTTTTTTTTCAACTAGGACCCCAACTATGGCTGGTGGCCTATTTTCTATTGACAGAAACTACTTTGAAGAGATAGGAACTTACGATGCAGGAATGGATATCTGGGGTGGAGAGAATCTTGAAATGTCTTTTAGGGTAATTGCATTTTACTTTATTTTTTGACTCTGAACATACTCTACTGTTGCATGCATATATAGACCTAGTAATTTACTGTCAAGTCATCTTTTGTGAAGTGATGTAAATTACTGATCAGTTGGTCATTTTAAAACTGATTTAGAAGCTTTGCTAGAGTCTTTTGCATGCAATATTTACTGTTAAGTGGAAAATTATAGGTGTTTTTTACTTTTTCAAAAATATTTTATTCATAGTACAAAGACATTGGGTCTTTCAGTGTTTGAGAAAAAGAAGGGCTTTATTTTTTCAATAAAATCAGTTTGTATTTTTGAACTGAATGTTGGACGTATTTATGCTATCTAAATTTGCAAGTGCTGCCTGAGGTTATTCTCAAATAACTTTAAGAATAACCTATGGTAAGAGGAATTCTGGATAATTTTGTATGTATCATAACTATTTTTGCAATCATAGACATTGTTTGATGAATCAGTTTAAATAATGAAAATTCACTTATTAAATGACCTTGCAGGTAAATAAAAAGTAAAGATTAATCTCTCATATATATGTTAGGAAGCATATGAATAATTTAACATTTTGTTATATTCATAAATTACAGACATATAAATGTGCTTTTATACTGTCATGTAATTGCTAACATACTGTTTTTTTCAAACCACATATATTATTATCTTTATGAAATAATAACACTGTTGTTTCCTCCCTTTTTAGAATAACATGAAATATTAAAAACACACAAGTTTTTTGCCAGAATTATTTATGCAATGAAGTTATTAGAGTTTAGAAATATTTATCTATGATATATAGATACATGTACAAACTTTAGAAAGTAAAGTTTGTTTTTCATTAAAAAAGTAAACATGTCTGATGTTCTGCAAGAAAATTGAAGATAAGAATTACTTTGAATTTATATAATGTGGAATTAAATGGACCTTGCATAATTTGAATTATTTCAGAGGCACCAGAATGCCCTAGTTATACAGCTTTTTGCCAATAAACCTTCCTTATAGTCAGATGTCTGAAAATATTGTTAATTAATGGAATTTTATTCTTCCCACATTTGCTTATATACTTATAGTCTGATGCAACTTGCCCCACAAGACATAGTACCATACTCAGGAATGTTTTCTTGCTTAATGAAAGAAGGAATTCATAAGCTTAAAAGAACTTTGCTTTTAACCTTAGATATAATGATGAGAGTATTTACACATTCAGTAACTAATATTTTTTGGATGCTGCAATGGGATTTGATAAGGAAAAGAATCAACATAGCAATATTTCTATGTTCTGTGAGTCTTTCTCTCCTCTTTCCTAAGATTCTTATTCACCTTTTTTTTCCTTGCCTCTTAAGGTTGATTCTTTGCCATTGGATCTCAGTTGCTTTCAATACATAGATCTCATTTTGGATGGATGCTATTCATCTGACTAAAAGATGTGTTAGGGAGTAATTTAGTGGAATAATATGATAAAACAAAAGAATGTGATCAGGAAATGCAACAGAGGTGTAAATGTATCACAAATTGAAGATTTGAGAATATGAAATTTGAAAATTTAATAATACTTGATGCAGATACAAGGAGGGTAGGGCGAATACAATTAGTGGACCCAAGTATGACCAGATCCTTAGAAAATAATAGAGGAGGTGTACTGTGATCGGTTGCTAGAGATTATTAAGAAATAAAATATTCATAAGTGACTGCTTTTCAATTGTTTTAAAACATATCATTGACTTTAGTTTCCATATGATTTCAATAGAAACAACCTATATAGTTTGCTTATTAGACTTTTGATTCATTTTTACTTTCCTTTCCATTATATGAATATAACTGCTTAATAACTAGTACCTTAGCTGAGGAAGATAGTAAAAGAAAATGCTGGACCAGTATATTAGCAAAGGAATGAGGCTTTCCCTTTAGACTAATTTCATGAAAAGATGTGTGGTTTAATGAAATAAGACTATGTTGAGGACCTGAGACTAATATCTACCTCAGTCATTACAGATCAAATGCATTTTGGGCTTGTAGTACATGCTTTACACTTTCCAGATACTGAGGCCGCAAAAATGAATAAGGCGTGATGCTTTTATTCTCATAAAACCACGTTCTTATGAGAGAGATACATAGGTATTACTGACAATGAAATGTGATTTTTTCCCAACGAACAAATGCTTATTTGAAAGGATTTGTACAGACATAATGCTCTTACTTTCAAAAGCAAAGGAATCTCTTGTATTTTGAGCACAAATACACTGTGGAAATGTAAAACTACAGTTAAGGAAGGAAGGAAAATACCTTTCCTTCCCCAGCCAGGGACTGAGATCTAAGCTAAAACTTTTTTCAGTCAGCCATCCTCTATCCCTGTCCCTTAAGTCTGACAGTGGCTTTATTAGAGATCTGGCTTTGCTGGAGTAGAGAGTTGTAGGGCTTGGAGACACTGGTGCCTCTTCTTTTGTGAGGGAAGGCCATTTTCACAATCCGTAGGAAAGGGGGTGGCCAGCTGCTAACCTGAGCTGAGGCTGCCTTATAGAAGAAGGAAGACCCAAGAGAAGGAGGGATAAATGGAGAAGTCCTACCCACTCACCTGAATCCCAACTCCTGTGACTCCTAATATACAACTGAGTAAGTGCCTGATTAACGGTTTTGAACAAAAAGCAACACAATTGTCAGCCTGGGGCCCATCTAAGCCTAAGGCAACCCCTGTAGCAAAGACCTAGCCCAGTCACTAAAGCAGCAAGTTAGGCAGAACTTAATGAAATGGGTATAGCTCCAGCTCCCTCATTTCCCTCTGGAGAACTTCCTACTGCTGACTTGTGAAAACTAGGGCTATGGGAGAAAAGCCCACAGATCTCAGGATCCCCAGGCACACAGCCTGGTACCTGAGACTTTTGTATAATATATGGGAGGCTGGGGTAGGGTGGGATGGTGAACTCTATAATATAATAACAGCCAGTACTCAAAAAGTGAATATAAAAAGGAGAGCTTGTCCAAATTACCTCTGGGCCTTGAGGATGAGAAGAGGCTAGGGAAGATAAATGGACGAGGTTTATTGGAAAGTCCAGCAGGAACACTGTTGTTCCTTCAAATCCTAAAGCAAAAGTACAGGGAGGGTCACACTGGAGCCTTTACAGTAAACAAGATACGGGTTCCCCAACCCCCAGACCTTAGTTCCCAGCCCTTGGGCACATGAGACAGAGAGTCACATCTGGGCCTTCTGCCCTATCCTTCCTTCGCTCCAAACAAGAGCAGGAATTGAAATGACAGTGGGAGAGAAGGGATTATCAGGGATGTCATTAGCACCTGAACCACTTCTCTTCCTAAACCAGAAACCCCAATAGCAGAAAGAAATAAGAGCAAAGTCACTTATCCTGCTTCTGTTTTGGCATTTTGGGGTTCCAGGACTGACTCTTGGCTTTGCACAGACAGCATGTAGGTGCATTCTGGTGAATTCGCTGATGACATGACAAGCAGGCCTTCATAGGTGGGGGCTGCTGCCTGAAGGCCGCTGTCTGCGTATGTCCTGCTTCCTAGCCACTTGAAGTTGTTGGGCAGCAGTGGCTGCAGCGCCCAGGGACTCAGGGATGGGGGTGCTCCTGAGGCTCCGTCTGCCACTCTGCTTTCTGCTTCTCGAAGTAATCCAAGGAGAGCTTCTCCTCCTCTTCATATAGGTCAGGGAGCCTCTGCAGGCTGAGTCATGCACAGGGCATCCACATGTTCCTTCAGTGACGTATACTCATCATGCAGATGGCGGATAGACTCTAGCAGCTTGTTTAAGTCATTCTCAGACTGTCTGATGATATTTTCCATTACATCAGTGTCAGCATTGATCGGTCAGAGTTCCTCCAGATGGGCCACCTTCTCTTGTAGCAGGAAGTCCATCTTCTGCTTGTATTCCATCAGGTGTCTCTCCTCTGATTCAAGGGCCTCACACTCAGCCTTTAAATGGGCCTTGATCTTCTCCATCTGTAGCATCTTATTCCTAATCTCTTTAATGCTTTCTGTTTGCACATTATTTCTTGCTCACCTGCCATGCTTTTCACTTTCAATTTCAAGTCCCAGGAAATGTACAGACACACAAATCCAGGGATACAGTAGACACATCGTAATCATCTCCTCTGGGCATGGGGTTCTGAGTCTGTTATAATGTGATTTTTTTAAATATATATTTATGTATAAAGTTTCTTTGTCTTTTTCATGTAGCCAAATCACTTAATCTCAACTTGGTAAAGGTGATTGTAACCATAGTGAAGTTGTTTTGTAGCTTTGGTTTTTGTAGGTTTGAAGGTAAGTAGAAAACATAGAAATATTAAGGGCTTGCAAAATATTGGGATTCTGGCTGGCCTTAAGGGAGTTTAGGCCACTCCAAAGGAACGCATTTTGCAGGTTTATTTATAATGGCATCACTTCATCTTTGATGCCCAGAAGTATTACAAGTACTGATAGATGTTGAAAATTTGATGAAAACTTAAGACCTCCGAAGAGAGAAGTATCCAGTCTCTTAACAACAGTAAGTTTGAACACAATTTCATAAGGTTGAAGAATTTCTTGAAGTATCAGGATAAAAATTTTGACATAATAGTAACTTCTAATATTTATAGAGGTGTTAAGTAGAATAGATGAGAATTGAACCCCGATATTAGGAGATAATTGGCTATGCTGCTAATTACCACACTACTACCTCCTCATTAAGTTTGTCCCTATATTATGTCAGTCCTAACAGCTGACGGTACTATTCGGAGGAAGAAGAGAAGCTGCTTCATCTAGTGATCATATCTCCCCCTTATAGGCTTTAGCCTCTTTTGGTATACAGTATACACCCAATAGCAGTGAGAATATGCACAGACAGATTCTAACTATCCTGAAGGCTTTGTCTCAGATACTGCTCTCCATTCCATTCCACCATAATCATCCAAATAATAAATCCTAAGAACATTGTCTAAACACAGATGTTGACTTATTTAGCTGATATTTATTGAGTTCTTACTCAGTTGATAGATGGGATACGGT